TACACCAATCATGAACCCGGCACCAAGAAATTGTGAGTCTCTAGATAAACACACAGTCCCGAGTGGATAATCTCGCTCATTTCGATTGAAAAATCAGATTTTGTCAGTACGAGGTCCCTGATCTCTCATTTTACGAAACCTAGTAGCTCACAATATGCCACACTAACTAAATCTTACTCACTATTTCTACCATAGCTACTTAGCTGCTTCGTCTGTACATTTCAAGGCCAGATCTGGCAAGATTTGTTGGTTCAGCGTGGCTGCTATCCAGATCCCTGTGTTGGGGGGTGTGTCAGTCTGGCATGCAGATGGTAGCTACTAGCTGACCGTGCATGTTGTCCTTGCAGCCAGCCGTGTAGATTTCTCTGTAGCGTTTCAAACGCGAGGGGGACACACGCAGCCGCAGGGTGTCATGTTGCGTGCAGAGAGTCACAAGGCAGTCAATGGGAATTATTGCTCACTGTGTTGTGGGGTCCAGCGTATGTTTATCGGTGTGTGGATTTTACTTAGTGACCTTGGGGAGTGAATATAGTTTCGTGAATGATGAGACTGGTTTATTGGCTGCCTCTAAGGAAAGCATTCACGAATGGCTGGCATCTAAACTTTATTTATTGGGTTTGGGTTACCTTAGTAACACATTGACACATTGACACAGCAGTCTCTTTGGTTTTACAGCAATTCCTCCTCACCAGGTGATGGAGCTAATGTCGTCATTTCTGGAGGTGAGTCAGTCAGAGATCAAGGAGGCCGTGAGGAGAGATCGCTGTGACTGGATGGCCTCCATCTACAATCTCCTCATCGACCAGCCCGATGGAAGAGTTGTTATGCAGAGGTTTGTGGAGCCCAGAAAGGGCCTGGTAGCTGCCTACTTCTCTTGCCACCACTGTACTAGCTGCCCAATTCTCTTGCTCTTGTACCCACTGCAGTAGAAGTTCTGTACTCTTCATATGCCGTTTTCGTATACTCCTCCATTATTGTTAATCTTAATCTCCCCAGACTGTTGTCAGCGGGACCTGAGGAGGCGCTGGTGGACGCGGCCCACTACCAGGGGACCATGGAGCACTTCAGACTCTCCCAGGACCCCACCCTCCAGCCCGATACCACACCCCCTGAGGTGGCCCGGGCCCTCACTGCTGCCGTTGCCGGGGGAACGCACTCACGAGCAGGCCACAGGCACAGCATTGTGAGTGGCAAACACTCGTTGGTTGAGTAGCTAGCAATTCTTGTGTGTACCTGTTTCAGACGTCTCACAGTACCTTCTCTTGATCTGCTGCTATTATATATATTCCTTGATTTCCCAACTATTCCACGTTATTTCCCCCACCACATTAGCACCTTAGACATCTGTAGTCTTGGGCACAAATTATTGTGTTTTGTGTGCTAAAAACCTCTCAGTAGGTATGCAAAAAGCTAAAAACCAATCTATGAAGACACATTTCTTGCATGTATAGTGATGTCATCCAAAATATTATGTCACAGGCTGGAGACCCACGAAGCAGCATGTATAGTGATGTCATCCAAAATATTATGTCACAGGCTGGAGACCCACGAAGCAGCATGTATAGTGATGTCATCCAAAATATTATGTCACAGGCTGGAGACCCACGAAGCAGCATGTATAGTGATGTCATCCAAAATATTATGTCACAGGCTGGAGACCCACGAAGCAGCATGTATAGTGATGTAATCCACATTACGTCACAGGCTGGAGACCCACAAAGCAGCTACCCCTCCTCCACACTGCCTCTGCCCAGACATGAGAAGAGACGACATCGAGACAACACCACATCGCCACAGCAACAGCCTCAGTCCCTGGGTCCAGTTCAGCCTCCACTGAGGAGGATGTCGATTGGAGGAGCTCAGATCGTGCCCAGCTATCCTCACGAGAAGACCCCGGGTCTCAGCCAACCTCTCCCACCAGTGAGCTCCAACCTCTTCTCTCTCATTTGTCAGCTCTTGTTTCAGTAATAACTTATGTGTTCTTATTCTGTCGTATTTCCTTATCTCTGCAGTCTCACCCTCCGCCCAGTGGAAAGGGAGGACGGAAGCTACCTCCTACGCCCAGCGAGGCTCCCTACCAGCCACACCCACTTCCTCCCCAAAACTCCGCCCACCACTTCCATCATTACACCGGTCGTCCACATTCCAGGGCGGAGTCGGAACCGAATCCTCTCCCTCTCCCCTGGAGACCGTCTCTCGTACAGAAATATCAGCTCTCACGAGAAGAAAACGAAGGGGCACCCCACATGAAACCGCTCAACACTTCTTCTCTTTCGCGACATCACACGTTTACCGAAGGTGGGAGCAGTAACCATGGCAACCCGACACATCTGATATCCCCACTCAGTCAAATGGGCGGCGGGGCTTCGTCTTCGATGAAAAAGCTCAAGAGGAACAAGCCGAGCTATGGAGAGAGGTTACTGCGACCTGTTAGACCCATTTCGACAGGTGGGGCGCTAGACAAGAGAACATCTGCCTCAGTTGATACAAATCTAGATATGAGAGGAGGGGGGCAGGATTACGCAACTCCCCCGCTTGTTGGACGACTCGACGGCGATGCGAGAGGTCACAGAGGTCAGGTGGGTCCTCGTGTTGACCACACCCACACTCAGCCGCACGCCAGCTGGGCAAACTACCGAGTCGGCTCTCTTCCTAGAAGGAGTCGCGATATACAGGCTCTTATGCAGATGGGCCAACCAATCACCTCGCCCTACAACTCTGTGCAGGATATATCAGTGATTGGAGTGTTAGACGGAGGAGGGAAGGGATCTATTACTAGTGTTGACATAAAATCAGAGCTGTTCAGTGGTGGGCGAGGGGGAGGGAAAGGAGGCGAGGCCTGGGGGCACGACGGAACAAGGATTTCGCCATACGGGAGTAGGGCTGGATCAGGGTATGCTAATAGGAGGGTCTCCCCCTATGGAAGTACGGGAACATCGCCATTTGGAAGTACGACGGTATCGCCGCACGGAAGTCGCGCCGTTTCACCTCGTCAGAGTGCAGTTATTTCTCCACTTCCGGACCCAGCTGGGGCAAAGGTCATTTCTCCCATCCACTCTAGAGTGATTGGGAGGCCGGTCGAGAACCTTGGGGAATTCCCCAAATCCAAGAGACGACATCATCGTCGGAGTATTTCGGCCAATCCTGCTAACAACCCCCCGAGTCTGGACTATTACACCCATGAAGTCAACGGATTAGACCACCCAGGGATTCCAAATGGAGAGCACCCACCGCACCGCGATCGCCATGGTTACGTCAAACCTCCCCACCACCTCCTCCCTGTGGCGAATGATTCCTCAGAGGTCAGAAGGTCATCGGCGGGAAAGAATCGAAATCACACCCACCCAGGAACGAGAGATCAGTATCCAGAGGGGCAATCTCATTTGACAGAATTATGAAACTTTTTTGATCCCATTTTATCATTTGTTGATGTTTTTTATCCAGCAATTTGTTCCCTATCTTTTCTACAGTATAATATGTACAAAAACTTTTCTTTAAAACTACAGTGATCATAATTATATATAATACCCACACATAATACAGGAGATAATACCATCCCTATATACTAAGTACTACCGTACTTAGTGATTAAGGGGTAGTTGCTTTAAAAATGGCAGTCGAATGCACAAATGAGGTTCAACCAGACATTGATGAAGGAGGTTATCTGAGGTTTTCTCTAACAGTAGAAGCTAGCTCGTCAACGACTCCCATTTCTTCGAGAACCGTAACTAGTGTCTCCCATGAGCGCGGAGCCCTTCCCGTACCCTGCAACCATCTGGAGAAAATCTTCTGAAGGATTGCATCAGGTCTTCCCAGTTCCGACTGGAACATGGCGTCAGTTATTTCCCCTCTCTCGTCATCCAGGAGAAATATGCCAAACATGCGATGATTGGGTCCAATGCATGTGATGATATTAAAGTGCCCGCCTGACTTTTTCGGAAATCGCATCAGTTTTGGTAATGTCGGAGTATCTGATCGCGCAGGACCTGTGGGAGATGCCGATTCCACTTGTGTTATGGTCGGTCTCAATGCAGAGCACGTTTGATCTCCTTGAGACGTCAGCAGCAGGGAAGACAGTGAAGATGGAAAAGAGGAGGGATGTGAGGAAGGAGAGGTGCAGTACTGGGCTTCAATTTCGATTGCTAGACGAGGGAGATTTACAGCGCGACTCCTGAGAGCAGTCACGATGGTGGACCAAGCCTCGTTAGGGTCGACTTGCTGCAGAAACTCTGTGAGCACCTGGAGAAGGCAATCCTTCGGGCTGCGGTGCTGGGAGTGAATGGCCTCGACAGCGTGTGGAGGGAGGCCCAGTTTGAGGCCCAGGAAACGGGAGCTGTTCTGTGCCGGTATCAGCGCCTCGTACATTACCGTCAGCAGTCCCTGAGCTGCACGGAGAGAGAAAGAAGATAACGAAAGGTAAGAGAGGTGGCTCTTGTAGACCCCGTATATACCTGCAGAGGCCTGAGGAGTGGCAAGCGCAGAAGTACTAACGGAAGAGTGTTGGGTACCGGGGGGTGGACTGAACGAGCAGGGGGCACCATCGGTAACCGCCGCGGAAGGACCAGCGGGCGCCGTCATGCCGTACGTATCCTCCAGCCGCTGTGCCAAAACGTCCTTCTTGATGGCTTTCAGGGCTCTCACGACTTTATTCCAGGAGGCGCTGGGGTCAGATTTGAGCCAGGAATCCATGGCCGTCAGTACACGGATGTTTGGGTTCGTCGACTCGTCGATCTTCCGCAGCACGGCAAAGTCCATACCCAGCTGAACGGACATACTGATCACTTCGGACCACGTGAGCTCGCATAGCTCAAGATCAAGGTCCCCTAGCTGCGGCTTGGCCTCCGACATGTCTCTCCCGGTGCTGGCTTTTCTTCCTTAGGGCTTAAGCGCCCAACTTAGAAAACTTAGAGCGCGTATAATAATTTAACGCATGCGCAAAGAATGACAGCTAGCAGTGATGTGTCATAAAAATTTCTTCTTTTAAGAAGATACCATTGGCGTCCAAAGGGTTAATTAATACTCAGGAAGTGCTATACACGCATTCTCATCCAAATGCTCTATGGAGAAATTGTGAGGTAGAGTTCCTCTAACAGCATTGGCTGCTAGTGATTTACTAGTCTGTATCCATTTATAGTTGTTGACTGTTTTGAGGAGGAGATCAGTACGGAAGTGGCGGTACAGGTGGACGGAATATAGCTCAGATATGTTGTAGTCTCTCAGATCCTTGGCGTCGGTTCTGTAGAGCCGCTCTACTCCAGGGCCGTCCCAACACAAAGGGAGGCATCCTTTTTTCAATGGCAGCACTAACACACCCTCCTTTTCCTTGTCAAGATTCTTCATAAAGACGGTGAGAGCATGAACAGCGTGAGTGGCCCAGCCACCATTAAACATCTCGCAGCTCAAATGTGCAAATCTGCACATCACACAGCTGTGCTTCTGTGACATCATCACTGCTGTGCCCACATGGGATCCACACTCTTCACTAGCGACCATTTGATGCTGGAGGAGGGGGTCAAACGATTTCAGAATGAGAACATCAGTGTCCATATATATTCCTCCGTTGTGGTAGAGGATTAAAAACCGCAGAAAGTCGGACATATGCGATAATATTTCGATTTTCACGCCATTCAACACGCTAGTCCCCGGCATAGAGAGAATGATCTGATGATCAATGTATGGCGCTATACGCCGCCACCAACAACTGTCTTGTTGTCCGTCAGTATATATCGTGATCTTGTCCGGTTTTATGAATTTCCTCGCACTGACTACTGCCAGCCACTCCATGAACGAAAACGGACGATTGAGTGACACAAAGTGGATGTGTTTGGGTATCGGGGTGCTGGCTTTCTGGATACATTGCTCTTTGCACGATTTCATCCAATTGTCGCAATCTTGAAATGAATAATGATGAGCATCTGAGATATCTGTATACTTTATTCAGAAGTGTATATACCTCTGTAAGTATGGGAGAGCACCTAGTGTCCTTTATTTATCAATGGGCGTGGCACAATCGAGTGCCACGCCCATTTGAAAAAGGTCTATATAATTAGCGAGGTGTCCAACATTCAGAGGGTCCCTTTTTCAGGGAGTTTGATTATCTCTAGCTACGAGCTATGATAAAATCAACTTACCCTTAGTCGTCTTTTTTGCTTGCACAATTTCATTCAATTGTGGCCACGAATTGTCGCAATCTTGAAATGAATCATGATGAGCACCTGAGATATTAGTGAAAGCTCTGCATATTCTATTCAGAAGTGTATATACCTCTGTAAGTACGGGAGAGCACCTAGTGTCCTTTATAGACCTTTTTCAAATGGGTGTGGCACTAGATTTACACAATCGAGTGCCACGCCCATTTGAAAAAGGTCTATGATCAAATCAACTTACCATTAGCCGTGTTTGTTGTTGTAGCTGCAGAGGATTAGAAGTCTGGATTCAACCACCATAATAATAGAGGGAAATACTCACGTGATCTATAGAAGAGCCACCAAGACAGAAGCAATACCGCTGCCACAACAGACAGAGCAATCACCGTAGGCCGCGGCCTCGGGGTCTTAGTCACGGCTGCCATCACGGTCGGCTGAGAAAACGAGGGGCATAATAACAAACCGCAGCATGCCAACCCCCCTGTACCCCTGGAATGTGGTGGTTACAACCCGTAGAGTATAGGTGGGTATCATGAGACACTCGCTCAGATCGAAGCAAAACTCACCCAAACTGTACTGAGAGCGGTACTAAGTACGGATCTCATCTCACTGAAATGTCGTGTGTAAATATTAATGGTGTATGCCTTTTTTTACTATGATCTCATCTCACTGAATCCAGCAGTTGTGCGCATGCATGCCAAATATGGAATCGTGATCGTAGACTGTAATGCAGTGAGAAGCAATGCCATCTTGTTTTTCAAATATTGACGTTCTGTGCTTTCTTTTTAGCATGTGTAAATGGTGTCCCATAATACATACACGTGTCTCATAATGCCATCAATACACATTCACGAATATTTGTAGTTTATTTCTGTGTCAAAGTTTGGAATCTAGTGCAATGTATTGTAATGTTTACTAGTTCTAACTAGTAACATTAACTCCAAGTTTCATATCATTTCCACCTACTCCTTCTGAATATCAAGGCAACAAAAATTGGTGTCTCATAATATCCTCACATACTCTATATACCCATGTGGTGTGTGATTAGTGTGTGGGGTCCGGGGAACGCTCTTAGCTCCGTTACCAGCGGTACACTATATATTACAAGTGGAAAAATCATTTCTTCAAAATGAAAGGGGGATATAGGGATGGCTTGAAGCACCAAAAAG